TTTTTCCTTCCACTCAACTTTCTGTTAACATGCTTGGATACAGCACTCAGCTTCTTTGGCAATTAATGTTTGTGGCTTACCCTCCTAGTGAAGGGTGTCAATGATTGTCTTCTGGACAACTGTCAGATCAGCAGTCTTCCCCATGATTGTGTAGCCTAGTGAACCAAACTAAGAGACCATTTTGAAGGCTCAGGAAACCTTTGCAGGTGTTTTGAGTTGATTAGCTGATTGGCATGTCACCATATTCTAATTTGTTGAGATAGTGAATTGGTGGGTTTTTATTAAATGTGAGCCAAAATCATCACAATTAAAAGAACCAAAGACTTAAACTACTTCAGTCTGTGTGCATTGAATTTATTTAATACACGAGTTTCACAATTTGAGTTGAATTACTTAAATAAATGAACTTTTCCACGACATTCTAATTTATTGAGATGCAACTGTATATATGCATAATAAATGTTTTATCTTTTATTTTAGATGCGATTAATCACGACTAATCGTTTGACAGCACTACTTGCGAGCCACTGAAGTGATCAGCACAATGTGTGGGCGTTTTTAGGTTGCTTTAAGAGGAAAGAATATATCATCATAAAAAAAGAAATTAAATGCAATGGCACTTCATTTGAAAAGTGCCAAACAAAAACCTAACAATCTAATTAATAACAAACTGTTCTTGTATCTGATACGACTGACATTTAACCTCAGGTTTTCATGACTGCTATACACACTTGCCTAAAATTTTCATAGATGTTAATTTTTCATCCAAAAATATATATATTTTAGCTTTATAAGATAAAGATCTGCTTGAAAATTCCTCAAAACTTTCAAAAAAGTCCTCAAGTTTTAAATGTGTTAAAGTTAGTAATGCGTTTAGCTAAATGATAATGATTACTTGGATTGACATTGAAAAATAATTGGTGATGGAACTATTTTCAATCAGAAATTGCTAGTAAATTTTACAAATAATTACAAAGAAACATCAAGTAACACACTGAATTACACATGAAGCTTTGAAGACTAAAATAGTATTTTCTTGTTAAACTTACTCCAGTTGTTTTATTTGAAAAATCAAATCACAGTGTTTTTTTTCCTTTGCAGACACATTTGCATGCATAAAACACTGACACACGTTTTCAGAGTTTCTCAACAAAACAAGTGATCAAAAGGGATTTGATAAGAGAATATAACATAAAAGTATTTTATTTTATGTTATTTATATGTTTTTTTGTAATTATTTTATATTGTGATTTTTTTCACAATATAATGTCAATCTTTTGCAAGCATGTTTATGGTAACATCCCAAAGATGTATGTTAATACCATGTATGTTTCTCTTTTGTTTTCCCATCCAGGTGTAGTGTATAGCCATGGCTGCATGGGTGGGGGCGACAACAAGGGAAATGGGCCAATCGCTCATCAACCCAGACAAACCTTCAGTTTCAGCCTCTGCACTCCCTGGAGACACTGGGAAGCCAGCGTTGCGCCCAAAACCGCACCTCATGCCTAAACCATTTGCCCTGCAAAGAAACTCCACCGTCCGCCCAATCCGGGCCCCAAAAACCAACTTTAGCAGAGAGCTCCATCGAGCCGCCTCTTCTGAAGCACTTTTGGATATCAAAAAAGCTGGTGCTGGTGGTCCAAATCTATCAGAATCCCAAAAATCAGGCTCAAATGGCAGAGTAAATGGGTCTAATCAAATTGCAGCTCCTAAACCCGTCCCACTCGGCCCAAAACCTGACTTATTGGCTAAACCTAAACCAGAACCCACTAAGAGTCCTGGTTCTAATAACCAAACTGGTCCAAACTCAAAGCCTGCTGTGACCGCTGAAGATGTGAAGGACGTTCAGCCCAGGAGCAGAGCAAAATCTTTGGGTTCTCAGGATCAAAAGATTCTCAACCAGAAGGACCAAGGAGAAGCAGCCAAGACTGAAGCAGACGTCAAAGTGTCTTCACGATGCTGGCCGCCTCGGAATCGTCTCTCCGTTGAGCTGACCTCCAAGTTCGAGTCACCGTCTCAACCCGAGAAGGAGGTGAGGAGAGATGCTGAAACCAGCAAGACGGAGAAAGAGTGGCCGCCACATTCTCCTTCTGAGTCCAAGCCTTCGAAGCTTCCGGTGGATACAGGAGAGATGGGAGACGAGGACGTCAGCGGAGGCAGCATTAAGAGACGGATCAGCCTTCTCTTCGATCGATCTACAGCAGCTCAGCACAAGGACACTTTCGACAAAAGAGACAATCCAGCTTCTGAAATATCTGTTGATATTAAACAGAGAATCCAGAATCTGAGCTTGGACGTGCCCAGGACACGCTTGCCATCCACTGGTGGTCCTAAAAGGTTAGTGAAGCCTGTTTCATTTTCATCTCTTTTCATCTCTCTCTCGATAATTGTATTTCAATCATATTAGAAAACGTTTCAGCTATTGTTCAGCTTCAGCTATGTCTGTTATGACTAATGATTTGACACATCACACCGGTAATCAAATCAAGTTCAAGCACTGTCGTTGCACCAGAAGAAACAGCTTCACAAACATCATGACAGGTTTTTTTTTTATTCATTCTTATGCATTCAAGAACGAAACATGCGAGTGAGTCAATGAGCCGTTCCTTCATCGGATTCGTTTGAAAAAGCACTGAATCATTGAGGAACAAAACAAGTGAGCGAGTTAGTGACTCATGATTTGTTCGAAAAAGCTTGAATCATTCAGGAACGAAACAAACGCGCGACTCAGTGAGCCATTCATTCCGCAGATTCATTTGAAAAAGCGCTGAATCATTCAGGAACGAAACAAGGGAGCGAGTCAATGAGCCATTAATTTAGTGGATTCGTTCGAATAAGCACAGAATCATTCAGGAACGAAACAAGCGAGTGAGACAATGAGCCATTCCTTCAGCGGATTCATTCATAAAAGTGCTGAATCATTCAAGAACGAAACATGTGAATGAATCAATGAGCCATTCATTCAGCGGATTCGTTCGAAATAGCGCTGAATCATTCAGGAACAAAACAAGAGAATAAGTCAATGAGCCATTCATTCAGCGGATTCGTTCGAAATAGCGCTGAATCATTCAGGAACAAAACAAGAGAATAAGTCAATGAGCCATTCATTCAGCGGATTCGTTCGAAATAGCGCTGAATCATTCAGGAACAAAACAAGCGAATGAGACAATTATCCATTCCTTCAGCGGATTCATTCATAAAAGTGCTGAATCATTCAGGAACGAAACATGTGAATGAGTCAATGAGCCATTAATTCAGCAGATTCATTCGAAATAGCGTTAAATCATTCAGGAACAAAACATGTGAATGAGTCAATGAGCCACTCATTCAGCGGATTCGTTCGAAATAACGCTGAATCATTCAGGAACAAAACAAGTGAATGAGACAATGAGCCATTCATTCAGCAGATTCATTCGAAATAGCATTGAATCATTCAGGAACGAAACATGTGAATGAGTCAATGAGCCATTCATTCAGCAGATTCATTCAAAATAGCGTTGAATCATTCAGGAACGAAACATGTGAATTAGTCAATGAGCCATTCATTCAGCAGATTCGTTAAAAAAAGCTCTGAATAATTCAGGAACGAATGTTTCAGTTAAATATGTGACAAAATGTTCTTTCTTTTCATTTATTTAGTAGCCTAACATAAACATTTTTATTTAGAATCTGTTTCACAATTAACCTAAACATTTGATTTTTGTCAATTTTGCTGATTTGTCACCAAGATAATGTTATCTAGCTGACTAACTGATTTTGTTAAAAATTGCAAAATGATTTGCTATAGTCTTCAAAACATCAGTATAAACCAATCAATTATGATTTATGCAATCATTTATCAGAAAAAAAGTGTGTTCATGAATAATGTAGTTGAATAATTTGTTGCAAATATTCTTTTTGCATTGGCCTACTGTGGCAGTAACAAAAAAAAACATTTAATGACAAATATAAAAATTATTCTTAGCAAACATAAAAATGTAAATTATTTTGTGGTGGGGCCAATGGAAATGTTGGCAGGAATGTTAAGTATGTATACTTATATATGTTTCTAGTTTTATGTTGTCCTTATTTTCAAAGCTATAACATATTTCAAAACTCTTATGTTTGTAGTCCACCATCTGAGAAGACACCAAATGAGAGATCATCTGAAAAACCTGCAGCGACAGAAAAGGTGCCTGTTGACAAACCACCAAGTATTGCAGAAATCAAGAACTCTGCTGCTAGTGTGGAGAATGTAGAAGAAGAGGAAGACCATGAAGATGAAGAGGAGGACTATGTCCTTGTTCCTGTTTACCGAAGGCTTGGGACGAGCCTAGATGTGGAGACAAAGAGAAGGGAAGAAGAAGAAAAACAGAGAAAAGATGAGCAGTTAGAGAAAGAAAGACAACAGCGGGAAAGGGAAAGACTTTTGGAGGAGGAGAGGAAGGCAAGAGAAATAGAGAGACAGAAAGAGGAGCAACGCAAACGTGCTGAGGAAGAGAGAAAACAGGAAGAGGAAAAGCAAAGACAGATGGAAGAAAAGAGAAAGCAAGAAGAAGAACGAAAGAGAAGAATTGAAGAAGAAAGAAAAGAGGAGGAGAGGAGGAGGCAGGCAGAAAAAGAGAGGGAGAGACAGATTGAAGAGGAGAAGAGAAGGATTGAAGAAGAAAAAGAGAGACTGAGAGAAGAAGAAAGAGTAAAGAAAGAGAGAGAAATGGAAGAAGAGAGGAGAAGAATTCAGGAGTTGGAGAGACAGAAAGACGAGGAAAGACTGAGACAAGAACGAGAAAAAGAAGAGAGGTTAAAGAAACAGCGAGAAATGGAAGAAAGAAAACGAATGGAAGAAGAGGAAAGATTGAGACAAGAACAAGAAATGGAGAGAATACGGAAAGAAAAAGAAATGGAAGAAGAGAGACAAAGAATTCAAGAGATTGAAAGACAGAAAGAGGAGGAAAGATTGAGAAAAGAACGAGAATTAGAGAGACTAAAGAAAGAAAAAGAGATGGAAGAAGAGAGACAAAGAATTCAAAGACAGAAAGAGGAGGAAAGACTGAGAAAAGAACGAGAAATAGAGAGATTGCGTAAAGAGAGAGAAATTGAAGAAAGAAAACGAATGGAAGAGGAGAGACAGAGAGAAGAAGAAAGACTGAGACAGGAAAGAGAAAGAGAGAGACTAAATAAAGAAAAAGAGATGGAAGAAGAGAGGAGAAGAATTCAGGAATTGGAGAGACAAAAAGAGGAGGAAAGATTGAGAAATGAACGAGAATTAGAGAGACTAAAGAAAGAAAAAGAGATGGAAGAAGACAGAAGAAGAACTCAAGAGATTGAAAGACAGAAAGAGGAGGAAAGACTGAGAAAAGAACGAAAATTAGAGAGAATGAGGAAAGAAAAAGAGATGGAAGAAGAGAGAAGAACTCAAGAGATTGAAAGACAGAAAGAGGAGGAAAGATTGAGAAAAGAACGAGAATTAGAGAGACTAGAGAAAGAAAAAGAGATGGAAGAAGAGAGAAGAAGAACTCAAGAGATTGAAAGACTGAAAAAGGAGGAAAGACTGAGAAAAGAACGAGAATTGGAGAGACTAAAGAAAGAAAAAGAGATGGAAGAAGAGAGAAGAAGAACTCAAGAGATTGAAAGACTGAAAGAAGAAGAAAAAAGAAGACAGGAACGAGAACATGAGATGGAGATGGAAACGTGTGAAGCAGCAGAGAGAGTACGAGAGGAAGTTCCTACGAGTTATGATTTAATATCAACTGATGCGTCACAGACTCTGGTCTCCACCGTCCAGCCCGCTGACGTCTCGCCTCGACTCACACAAGTGACTTACGATGACTTTTCAGTGAAACCCCGAAGATGGGGAACTAGGGTGAGATGTTCCTCGTCTCCATCCAGAGAAACTCCTGCTGCTCCTCACCACATTCTACAGCCAGAATCAAAGTCCAGTCATCCTGGACCCCAAGAACCAAGCGGAGATCAGGTGTCTGTGCATGATCTGATCGAATTTGAACCTGAAGTTTCCAGCCCACACAACTCTACAGAAAGCAGAACGCACACATGTTTATTTGAGGCGGAAACTGAGTCCAAACCAGGGGATCTGCTGGAGCCAGAAACAGATGAGGTAAGACCAATAGTGGTTAATTAAATATTGCAATATAGTTATAGATTTTCACTGTGATATATATTTGACTTTAATAAAACAAAAAGCAACAAGAGACTTTACATTACAGGCACATCTTAATGTAAAAATATAAAAGTGAAAAATAATGTTGGAAGTATCTACATTTAGTAATAATAATCAGTGTCCAATCCAATCTTAATATTCTATAAAATATATAAAAACAATATAAAATAATATTACAATATAAAATATATTAAAAGTAATATTTAAAAATGATGTAATATAAAAATATAAAACTTGAAAACTTGTCAAAATATTTACATTTATGAATAATAATAATCAGAACAATTATAGTATGGCACATCTTAATATAAAATGTATATACAAATATAAAAATGAAATATTTTAAATAAAATATACACTTAGCGATTAATCGCGATTAATCGGTTGACAGCACTAAATATTTTATAATATAAGAAATAATAAAATAAAATAATATATTTAATAAAATAATAATATAAAATATATACAACTAATTATAATAATATATAAAATATTTATATAAAATAATGTATATAATTATAATGTAAAAAAAAAACTTTTGGAAATATTTACATTCATTAATTCATTTTAAAAATCTGAATAATTTTGTCTATTAGCCTGACTGAAATCTGAAATGCAATGTAGCAACTTGGCACCTTTATATATAATGTGCAATCATAGGTGTGCAATTATCTGTATTTCAAACACGGCTCATGCAATCAGAATCAGTTATAAAGTATATTTAAATTTTAATGAAAATAGGCCCTTCTAACCTCAGCTGGTTGTAAACACTAGTGGAACACACTCAACAATTTTGGCCTTTTTGGCTTTCAGTAGTTTAAAGGGATAGTTCACCCAAAAATGAAAATTTGATGTTTATCTGCTTACCCCCAGGGCATCCAAGATGTAGGTGACTTTGTTTCTTCAGTAGAACACAAACGAAGATTTTTAACTCAAACCGTTGCAGTCTGTCAGTCATATAATGGAAGTAAATGGGAATCACGGCTTTGAGAGTCAAAAAAACATACACAAACAAAACCAAATTAAACCCTGCGGCTCGTGACGATACATTGATGTGTAAAGACACGAAACGATCGATCTGTGCAAGAAACTGAACAGTATTTATATCGTTTTTTACCTCTGTTTCACCGCAATGTCCAAATTGTCCTGAGCGCGTTCTCAGCAGCCGGCGCGTGACGCGTCTTCTTCTTCTTCTTGCTTTACAGCGGATCGCAGACTTATAAGTGCATTACCGCCACCTATCTCTCAAATGGACCATTGAAAAAAAGTGAAAGTGAAAAAAAAAGTGAAAGTGACGTTGCTCAAGGGCACCTCAGTCGTGGTATTGAAGGTGGGAGAGAGCACTGTACATTCACTCCCCCCACCTACAATCCCTGCCGGTACGAGACTCGAACCCACAACCTTTGGGATATAAGTCCGACTCTCTAACCATTTGGCCATGACTTCCCGTACTATTTGACACTCCTAAACGAGATTGTAGATAGAGTTTGACAAGCAGATAAACATCAAATTTTCATTTTTGGGTGAACTATCCCTTTAATGCACATAGCAGCCAATAGGGGGTTACTAGCTGGTTAGCTTTAGCAATGAACCCCTGCTAGTCAATACATTATGGGGGCAAACAACACCTGCCTTTATAACCAGTCATTCAAAGGTAACCAGATGTCATGAAAGTCTTTGCAATCAAAGTATTAATCACTAAAATATTATGTTATTGTAAACATTTTACCAGTCCCACATTTTGTTTTTAAGGGCTCTTAACAGTGTGAAATACACTGTTCAACACCGTTTGTTGAAAGCAGATCTCATCTGTTAGCGTTAGTTTTCATCTCAGTCACATTTACAGATGCATGTATCTTTATAATATACAACCTACATACTGTCATTCTAACCTAATCTAAAGACAAATGTATGTAATTTGCTCAGTGGATGTTTTTATGTTTGTTGGAGAAAAATAGTATCTGGATTCACCAAACTTCACAAGCATTGTGTCTTAATAAGAAACCGGCAAGAATTGTAAATGTCCAGACTTGTATAAGCACAACTTGCACGCCCCAAACTTGCTAAAAGTCAAAAATCTAGCTTGCAATATCACCTATAGAGAATTGCATGATTTTTTTAGTGACAGCAAACATAATCTCTTCTGAGCTCACAGTCAGGGTACGAGAAACTCTGTTCAGCTGATAGGGTTGCTCTTGTAGGGTTGATCCGCGTCTTCAGGGCAGGGCCCTTTGTTTCCATTGATTGTGTCATGTTGGAATTTCCCATTGGTGTCTTATGACGGCATAGAGTGATGTCACCGCAGTCAACGCTGCTTTGTGTTGGGTGTGTGTGTGTATATAGATGTGTTTATTCTTACATGACACTTGTCCTTGAGTCAGGCCTGTGGCATTTTCAAACAACACCTATCGACCGCATTTGAGCAACAGATTATACAAACATTGGCATTGATTACATGTACACCAGTCTGATTACTGTGCATTTAATCCAGATTAAATTAATATTACATTGTTTTTAGGATGTCTACATGAGACGGGGAACCTCTTCAGTTGTGTTTGCATGCTCCTTGACCTTGTTTTCATTACTCCCTAATGAAATATAGTTGTTTTACAGCCGTTTTATCACTATTCTCTTGTATACAGGAATACAAAAAAAAATTTTTTACAATAAAAACATTTGATTGTAGTACTTTTATAAAATTAATTTCAATTAAAAATTACATCAGTGAGGAGTTTCAAATTATTCAATTATTATTAGGATGTCTACATGACATGGGCAAACCTCTTCAGTTGTGTTTATGTGCTCCTTGCCATTATTTTGATTAAAAATATAGTAATATAATATATTGTTTTACAGCCATTTCGTCTCTATTTTCTTAGCAACAGAATACAACACAAATACAGTAGGCTTGTTTGTTGCTGCTGTTTTTATTTGCTGCTTCAAATGCAAAATAGTCCTTGGTTCTTGTTTATCCGAGTGGCAGAAATGCAATTAAATTGTACAGGATACTTACCTGTATAGTGCAATTAAAACCACAGTGCTCCATGTATTTTACTGTAATTATGATCAGAATTGCATCATTTACAATATTCTGATGACATGAGAACCAGTGTAATCACTGCCATAACATAACAGTGCTTTCAGCTGAGGACACGCTGGATTTGATCAAACTCTAAGTATGCTATATGGTTTAGTTTAGTGAGCACCACTAATTATGGTTTACAGAGCTGAACTTGGTTCCTGTGAAAAGTTTTGGGGCCAGACGGGGAAGGTTCTCTGCTCCGATCTTCATGTAAATGATTTGCAAAGGCCTGTAGGTTTGGATGTTTACTTTCATATGCAAAGCAGAGAAGAAAAGGGTGGTTCACGCTTCAAATTATCCTACAGTTTAAACTCCAGCATGTTTGAAACAGAAATAGCAAATTTGCAATGACGTAGAATTATTTGAATATATTATAATATAATAATAATAATAATATTTGTCTTCTGTATTTTCATGTGAACTACTGGTTGAATGTGTAGGTCTACAGATTAAAACTTTATTGGGTCTTACTGTGTGTTTACATCGGGAAAATAGAGAAAATATCTGTGCATGTGTGGGATTTCTCTGGTTTATGTATACTTTTGTTCACAGAACAGTTTATTAAAATGTTCAGCATCCATGTGAATGTGGGCTTGGAGGGTATTTAATGAAATATATAAATTTAATATATAAATATATTAAGTTCATGTGTTTACATTTTTTAAGAGAGGGGTACAAAGGTCAGCATCATTATTTTTTTTTATATATAGGCCTATTAACAATTATAATATAAAATAAATAAATGTAAAAGTTAAAAACCTTTCCAAATATATTCAATTTATTAATAATAATTTGAGTATTTTTGTCTATTAGTCCATTATTATTATTATTATTATTATTATTAAACACAACCTCTTCAGTTGTTTACATGCAAATTGCCATTATTTTGATTATTCATTAAGAAATATGATTGTTTAACTGCCATTTTGTTGCTATTTTGTTGTACCCAGCAACACAAAAGATTCAATAAAAATAAAAAGTTTCTGAAAAAGGCTGAAATATGGTAAAATTTGTAATATTTTGAAATAATATAAAAAAATAAAATTTATTATAAACCTGTTTTCTTTTTTAATATTTAAAAAATTTAAATAGAATTAAATAAAATTAAACATAAAATATAATAAAATGTAATTGTGATGTAAATGTGATGAAAAAATTGGAATTTTCAGCAGCCATTACTCCAGTTTTCAGTGTCATATGATCCTTCAGAAATCATTATTTATATGAAATACAAATCTTTTGTAACATTAGAAATGTTTTGTCTTTTTTATGTACGGAGAAGTATACGGTTGCTTGGTGGTTGCTATGGTGTCGACATACTCTAGATATCATTTAGTTCTACAAAGGTTGATAGGATTTGCCTGTTTTATTGTCTGCCAGGTGAAAATTGTTCTTTCATATGCTTAGTAAAGTAATATCATAACATAAGAGAATGTTTTCCTAGTTGCTATGAAATTCATTATGATTACAGTATGGTACAGTATTTCTACCTCTTAAGCTCTTGTGATAGGATTTAATTTAATGTAGTTCCAAAGAAGCCATTTGAGCTGTTCAGAAAGGGTTATGAAATATGATTCTCAGTAATGTCAAGTGGATCTGTTTCTCAAATAGTTTTTATCTATCTATATCTGTCTCTGTCTGTCTATCTATCTATCTATCTATCTATATCTGTCTGTCTATCTATCTATATATGTCTCTGTCTATCTATCTATCTATATCTATCTATCTATCTGTCTGTCTGTATGTCTGTCTATCTATCGCAAAATGCATTGTGAAAGCCAATTCATGCAATATCCTTCCCATCTTTATTTCATGCTTACAATGGCTACTACATAGTTTCTTATCCTGTATGATT